GTTCAACATGTAAGAAGTAGAAAGTACAGGTATTTGGGTTCAACATGTAAGAAGTAGAAAGTACAGGTATTTGTGTTCAACATGTAAGAAGTAGAAAGTACAGGTATTTGAGTTCAACATGTAAGAAGTAGAAAGTACAGGTATTTGTGTTCAACATGTAAGAAGTAGAAAGTACAGGTATTTGGATTCAAAATGAGAGAAGTAGAAAGTAAAGGTATTTGAGTTCAACATGTAAGAAGTAGAAAGTACAGGTATTTGGATTCAAAATGTGAGAAGTAGAAAGTCCAGGTATTTGAGTTCAACATGTAAGAAGTAGAAAGTTCAGGTGTTTGTGTTCAAAATGTAAGAAGTCAAATTAAAAAGTCATCAGAAAAATAAGTAGTGGAGTAAAGTACTGATACCAGAAAAATGTACTTTAAGTAACAAAGTATTTGAACTCCATACTTCCCACATCTGCTCATCTTCATGTCATCATGGAGCAGGAGTGTGTGTCACATGTCGTTGCACCCCCTCAGTGTAATAGGGTGTGTGTTGTGTGTGAAATCACCTGCTTCACACAGCGTACGGAGAGAAAGGTTCTCTGCAGGTCCTCGTGCCTCGATGACAAACTGTGGAGCGTCTCCACAGATTTACGGTGTAAACAGGAGCGTCTCCGTGCGAGGCTGAGATTCCGAGGCTAAATCCTCTCCGAATATTTCCCGTTACTGGAAGTCTGCTCCCCGCATTCCTGCCCTGCAGCTCAGACGAGCCCTACAAGGACCGGCGGTGTGACCCGGAGACCTCATCCAATTAGCATTCATACGTCTAATTGTAAAGATGAAAAGCGTATATAAATCCAATGTATTGTTATTATTATTAAATCACTGAATGGTTTAGGGGCTATCATACATGTCTGATCTTCTGCTACAATATGAACCATATTTAATGTACTTTGTCAACTGACTCAAAAATAAAGATGGAGAACCAGCGATTAGTTATTTGCTCCATATATCTGGAAACATTTACCCTAAACCTGTCACCTCTCACTTGTTTGAATCACTTTTTTGCCGCTGACTTTTAGTCAAATCAAATATATATTCATATCTACACTGCACTGTAACTTTTAAACTTGAATTTCATACGGTATTACGTTTGAGTTTCTTTTATTTGTACTTTCTTGGCTTTTTAATGACTTTTAAATGTTCATTTATCTGTTGAACTACATGTAAATGCTTTAATGTTTTTAATGTAATTTTGTAAATGGGACATATTCTGCTCGTCTTCAGGTGTATATCAGTATGTAGTGTCTCTTCTGTGACATGTTTCCATGCTTTAATGTTCAAAAAGCTCTTTATTTTTCTCATGTGTGTGTGGGAGAGCAACTCACAGGGATGTTAGCCTTTGCAGACCATGCACTAAAACCTAGAACACACTACAGGAAAGTGAAGACCCCAAAAAGCATAATTGGGCCTCTTTAAATGTTTTTGTTTTCCTCGTGTTGACATGTGCTACCATTTTGCCCTGCATTACCTTATATATTATCCTGCAATCATTTCCTCTTTAAGATCTTTCTACACGGATATCCAAGTAATACAAAACTGAGTTTCTCACGTAGGAAAAATGCTCATATTTGTCCTGATTTATCCGCAGCTGAGACAGCTTAAAGAGTAGACATGAATACATTTTAATTATTGTCTAATCGACACCATTTTGGCTCAAATTCGTCACTCACAGCATCGTTGAGAATTTGCCATAAACACCTTTTCTTGCATTAACTTTCATTTGTTTAATTGCTTTTGCTTTGTGGCCTATGAGAACACATACAATGGCAGCTTTTTTAACCTTTATATCTCACAGTTTTTCTGTATATATATATTTCCCGTCTATGTTTACCTCTTCTTCTCAGTGTTGGCAGTAACTCAGACTACATTTAGCCCGCTCTCATGCCCGGGCTTTAGCCGTCTGGCTGCCAGACTCAAGACAAACCTTTATTTCATATCTTTATCTTGAAGTACTTCCACATGAAGAACATCATTCTTACAGGCATTACATTTTTTTTTAAAAACAGATATCATGCGGTCTAATATATCGTTTTAATGTATTTACGAATTTATGGAAATCAAAAAAAGTAAGTACTCACTCCAGACTAAGAAAAAGAATCGTCTTAAACCTATAGAAGAGCATGGAACAAATATGTATTATTTTAAATGTCTAAAGGTGGGTTTTATTTATAGATGGGATAGACATACAGGAAGCTGGACATCATAAAAATATGTCTGCTTCTTGAGAAATACAATAAATATGCTGAACGTGCAGGAATGTGCCAGGATGACAGAGTGCTGGGAGGAGAGATGCTCCTCCTAAAGATCTACGAGGCCTCCAGAAAGATTTAAAAGTGGACTAAAAACCAGACGATTGTGACATTTATGTTAGAAGCCCAGAGGGTTGAAAATCTGCAAGGTCACTGTTGAAGAAAAAAATGCAAGATCGGTGAAAGGAGGGTTGGAAAAACACATAGAGGAACGTTGTGCAATTAAACGAGGCATGATTATAGGACACTGTATTCTTCTAATCACACACACACACACACACTGGAGCACCACATGTGGATTAATCCGCGGATAAAAATAGTCCCCACATATCCCTGCTTGTTTGACAGAAACTACAGTGAGCATTATGTGTGTGTCTGCCTGCTTTGTAGTTTGTGTGTGTCTCTGCGTGTATTGGCGCATTTCCACCGCAGGCCTCGCTCGGCTTAGTACGGTATGGTTAGGCCTCATTAGGCCAGGCTCACTTTATGCTGCGTTTCCATTACAGTTTGGGAACTGCGGCAGTAACTATAGTAACGCAGTGTAGGCGGAGCCGTGACGTCATCTTCAATGAGAACCACAAAACCAACATCAGCCGTTAGCCGTTAGCACTCAGAGCTCACAGCTCCTCATATCTGTTCAGAAACTAGACAAAAGTTAAACAAGTACAAACCACAGACTGTCTGTGTCATGAAGAATACAGTCGCTGGTTTATTTATGTCTGTAGGCCGTTGTTGTGAGTGTGGACGGTCGGAGCATATACTGCGTTAGCTTAGCCGATCTCCATTCAGAAAACACGCATTTTAAAAGGTGTTTCGCCTGCCGTCTGTCTGCAGACTTGTCAAAGCATTAATTCATGGTTTTTACTAACCGGTATCAGTATGTTGTTACTTCGGCATCATTTAGAAACGTGTTACAATTAAATCACGGTCAAATGTGTTCATTTTGTTGTAGTTGTAGCCCCCTTGCCAGCGATTCTCTCACTAGTTTAGCATACTCAGCCCGGTTGTTGGCCCGGAAAGAACCTCGATTTTGGAGAGCCAGAAAACTGTGAAAAAGTACCCGCTAGCCGGAACCACGCCTAGTGGAAATGCAACCAAAAACGGGCCGGGAACGGAACGCTTAAACCGCGCTGTAGTGGAAATGCGCCATTAGATGAAGACAGAAACTAACCCTGACAGTACATTTATAGACTCTATATGTTCTCACCAACCTTTGGTTCTGCAGATCTCGATCAGATTGACCACGTTTTCATGTTTGAGCAGCTGGAGGATCTTGATCTCTCTCAGAGCTGTGATTGGAAACTGAAACAAAGCAGCCAGAAGAATACATTCATTTAATAACCGTGTACAATCACTGATGCAGTAATTAGAATTCAAGGTGTTGTCAATAGTAAGGGCGCTTGTCACGTCTGACCCGTTTGGTTCAGTTAAGGTTCTCTTACCCCTTCTTTCTCATTTTCCATCAAAACCTTCTTCAGTGCGACCTTCTTCCCGGTTTGTCTGTGCTTCGCTTTGAACACCTCCCTGTGAAGTGGATATTAAAACAAAAGACATTCAAAACTATTCATTTAGCTCAAGACTTCAATATTTAAACACCTAGAAAGAAAGGAAACAGCTGTAACTGAACTACAGTGCTGAATGATTTCTAGCTTAACATTTTAAGCTTTGGAAACTTAGAGAGTGTTAAAACTACAGACTACAACGTCCCCTATAACCCTTAAATGGTGTCTGTATACTGGGGGATAAAGACATTGGACAGGCGGTGTCCATGTGTCAAATGGGTGTAATATTTGTGTTACATGGGTCTAATAACAGTGTAATAGAGGTGAAATAACAGTGTTATACGGGTGTGACATGGGTATAATATGGCTGTAATTTAATGTGTAATAACATTGTTACATGGGCGTGTATTAATGTGTAATGAAGGTGCAAGAACAGTGTAATACGGGTGGAATATGGGGTGGAATTGGGGGGTAAGTTAAGGTTACATTCTCACAAAAGTCTCCTAGACATTATACAGATAAAACGGTGCTAAAATAAGCCATGTTTACCTCGAACTAAAGGCATATTGTTGTAGCTTAACTAAACTATGCCGAAAGACCTTTTGTTGTTATTTAAGTGACTACAGGTGGGGTCAAAGAATAGCTAGCTGCATGAATGTGTGGGAGCAAATGATTTCTTAATGCCCTTAATGTTTTTCATTTTTGTAAAGCACTTTGAATTGCCTTGTTTTGAAAGGGGCTATTGTGGTGGAACATTACGGGACATCAGAGAGTGTGTTGCGCCACGGACCTGTTAGGGAGCGCACCTGTGGTTTGTTATCATTCTAGCTTGAGGAGCATGTAATGAAGTTGTTCGTACCTTTCTGTAAACTAATGGAAAATAAAGTGTGGAGTTCCATACTCAACACGCCGCCTCGGTCTCCCACTCATCGGCTTTACACTATATCAATAAACCTGCCTAAAGTTAGCTAGTAGCACAGCTGAGCTGCCATTAGCCACACAAACAAACAAATACTACCCACTCAGCTTGTTGGTCACACGGTAAACATGTGTGTGTGTTTCTCACCCGAAGGTTCCTTGTCCTATTTTAGCCATTTTCTCATATTTTGAGAACTCATCGCAGAAAGGGAATTCCACTCCATCGTAGTATTTGGACATGATGGCGGCCTCACGGTCGGGCCTGAGGAGGAAATTCACCTCATTTTAGGACACTGTTGTTAACACAAGCTATATAGGAGGGTAACATAGCTCAATAACAATATAGATATGTTAACAATAGAGTGGTAAATAGTTATATTCTTACTTTTCAGCCACCGCCGTCGCCGCGGCAGCATTGCTTGTTTTTTCTCGCTGCATCTCTGTAGTGCAAAACTTCTTCTTCTTTGCTTTTAATGGCGGTTGGAAAACAGCTTTTATGAGCATTTACCACCACCTTCTGGAATCTGTAAATTGTGTACTTTGAATAATCAATTGTTAAATCAGACTTTAGATCCACCTGGAGTAAATTCACAAGCTACCCTACCTTTATCAGCTTTGATAACATAAAGGACGGAACATGACATAAGTATAAATACATATGTTATTTTGTTATTATAATTTTGTATTTATTTAAAAAAATTATGTTTTTTTATATCATGAGTGATATCGTTTTTTATTTACTCGTATTTTTACTTTTTTCATGTCTTTGTCATTATAATTTTTTAGGAATTTATTACATTTTGATTATTTTATGTATTATTATTTGTTGTAACTTGTAACATTATTTTAACATTATTTTAATGTTTTTTTCCCACGTCCCCATGAGGAGCTGGTGGCATCTCCCATTTTTTTTAATATACTTATTTTTAATGTATTTATATTTTTTGTAGTTATTATTTTTTATGTATTAAAAAAAGAAATCTCTCTTTTGTTTCAAATACATTTTTGTATTATTTTAGTTTATATTATTATGACGGAACAGGACATAATTATAAATACATATGTTATTGTGTTATTATAATTTTGTATTTATTAAAAAAAAAAAAGTTTTTTAAAATTATTTATTATTTAATATTAATATGTATTTAAATTATTTATGTAGTGATATCATTTTTTTATTTACTCATTGCATTTTTACTTGTCATGTCTTTATAATTTTTTAGGAATTTATTACATTTTAATTATTATTATTTGTTGTTACAATTAAAATTTAATTATTTTAATGTTTTTTTCCCACGTTTTTTATGCATTAAAAAAAAAAAATCTCTTTTGTTTCAAATACATTGTTGTATTTTTTAAATTTATTATTAAAATAGTAAATAGTATTTTGCCAACTGTTCATTCATCTTGTAAAAAAAAAAATACAATTAAAAAAATGATTATATCTAAAACACACAAACACACCACTTTCATAAATAACACACTTGCTCTGCAATAATGTCATGTTTTACGTAATTCTGTTAGACAAAATAAAGACGAAACAGGAATCAACTCAAACACTTTTATTGTAAATTATGGAAAAACAAACCATCGAGTTAGGAATTGTGAAGCTAGTGAGTTACATGAAGAAGACATAGTAAGTGTTTTTAGGAGGTGTCCATGGTGAGAACGCTCTCCTCCACCACCTCCAGGTTCAGCGGGGTCACCGCCTTCGACAGCACGCCTGTGGTTCCTCTCTTGTACTTGTAGTCACCGGTTCTACATCAGGGAACAACACAGGTTTCAGTTAAACCCTTGCATGTTTACAAGAGAGAGACTTCAGCACAGCCACACATTAGTTAGGGAAATCAAACTCAGCACGCCAAAAGGATAGATCCCGAAAAAGTGGTTACTTCTTTTACATTTTCTAACTTGTATTTTTTACAATACAGTAATTGTTCTGTTATTTTACTTAAGAAATAGTTTATAATCTTTATGCATCACATTAAGAGTATTTTCTGTTTTGATTGGCATTATGTGAGACGTCTTCAGTTTTCCGTTTTCTAACCTTTAATAGGACACATTCTTGATCCTAAATATCTTTGTTTCTTCTTTTCACTAAAGTTGTCTTACAAAATACACTATGGTTAAACATATCTTATTGATATTTATTTATCACCTTCGCATCTGATATGGAGGTAATCTAAAAGTAACGGAGAGTAATCCGGTTACTTTTATATATAGTGATACTAATGGCGCTTTTCCACTGCAGCACGGTTTAAGCGTGCCGTGCCAAACCCGGCCTGTTTTTTAGTTGCTTTTCCACTAGGCGTATTTCCGGCTAACGGGTACTGTTTCACCTTTTTTCTGGCCTTCCAAAATCGTGGCATGACTTTAAATGATCAGACGGACACATTTCTACCTCTTCACTGTATGTCCGTCATATCCCCCCACCCTGTAGGTTAGTCGCACGCTCAGAAGAGAGAGGGGGGGGGTTGTTAGCTGTGCACTCTGTCACACCACACTCTGTACTCACTGCTGCACGCCTTCACGCTCAGTTAGTCTTCAAGCAGAACAAGTAACAAGACAATAAGTCAGCCACAGCTCGTCATGACTCAATCACCCAGCATGCTTAGCGTCAGAGCAGAGCTGCTGTTCTTCATGGCCTCATAATGTGACCGTGTGTGCAACATATGACTCACACATTGATCCAGAACAGGGGATATGTGCACTCTGAGAGGTGTGTGTGTGTGTGTGTGTGTGTGTGTGTGTGTGTGTGTGTGTGTGTGTGTGTGTGTGAGTGTGTGTGTGTGTGTGTGTGTGTGTG